TATAATAATTATAGTACAATTAATGATTAAACTATTTTGCAAATAAAAAACATTATTATCCTATTATTATAACTTTACTTGGAAAGTAAGGCGCTAAAAACCTATCTGCAGCCCGAAGAAGTTTAGCCTATTTAATTTCAGCCCTTACCTACTGCCAAGCTGTGCAGGTCTGATCTACCCAGTATAGATACAAAGGCTTTCCTTCAAATGTCTTGGACTGATCTCTCTAGGTAGCTTTCTTGGTGGCCATATTATTACTTTTTGTTACTAGATTAATATTTTCTCTTTCCTCAGGCAGTCTAATAATTTAATACCTAGATTTGGGTCCATTGGTGTGGTTTTTAGCTTGGTATTTAACGGTAAGGATCTAGTATTGTGTTTATTATGATATCCTAGATGCATTCATTTGTTGTTTTATACTGTGCACAATTTTATTCATCTATGGTAATTTTACTGTATTTTGTTTTGAGTTTATTATGTTATCATTCTGGAGAAGGTTGTTAAGAGTCAACACTAACTTGATGGCACATAATTGGGCTATTAAGTTTAACTGCATTGTAATATATCTAAATAATGTAGCCATTTAATAAATAACTTTTTTTATTCTAAAAATAGAACAACAACCATGGTGCAAAAAATGCAATCATAGCAGTTATTACATGACTGACAGGATATGTGCAATAACCACAGGAGCTAATTTGTCTCAAATGATAGTTGCCTCCTAAGGGAAAGAAATGATGGCTAAGACAATAACACAGGATGTTTAATTAAGGATTAAGTCTTGTTCTGCAAGTCCCAAACATCTGAACATTTCCTTTCAACTCTAAGCAAAACTCAAGGCATCATTGGTCTTCACCTGTCTAACAATAAGAAACATATTTTATTTGTATATGTAACAACTAACATTATCAGAATTTGTTTTCTGTAAGTCTGAGAAGCATCCAAGTAATGGCTGAAATAAGTCAACCTTACAGTTTCAAAACAATACATAAGCTGTCTATGTACCCAGTACACACATAAAGTGGAACTCATATTTGCCCAATTCCTCCCCTATTAACTAAGCTCTCATTACAGCATTTCAATTATTGATGAAGCTGTCTCCTCTGCTCTCAGAGTTGGTTTCAGGTGTCACCTGCTCAAATAACACAGCTCAAACCCTGCAAGAAGCAAACAGGATGTGTTTTTTTTCCCCTAAGTACACAAAAGTTGGAAACCAAAAACTAAAAGACAACCAAAACTAATCTCCAGAATTCTGTAGATAAGATAAATATTAGAAATTCTCTTGTCTAATTCTTACATACCCTCCCTTTGAACTATTTCCAAATGTTCTTCAAGCTTCTTAAGTTTTCAGAGGAAATTGGGTATTTGGCAAACAAATGTAACTGATATTATTTCACAGTTTGTTAAACTACACAATTAATAAAAGTTAATACTATACTATGATTCTTACACTATTTTACATTTAATAAAGGCTAGAGGATACATTTTTTAACTTAAAATGATATTTTGAATAAAACATCAAAACTAAGGCTCTGTACCTTTATCCAAATATTTTATTAAACTGCACACCTGTAGCAAACCCAAATTTACCACTTTGCCCTAAGCTGAGTGCCCACCTAAAAAAAAAATGTTATATCTTACATCACATATTGATAAATCTCTCTCTTGCCATCCATTCAATCACCACAAATTATCATTTTGGCACACTTAGAAGAATATTTCACATAAGAATGTAAAAAATATCCTGCTGGATTTGACCACAGGCCTAATAGTCCAGCAAGATGTATATGGAAAGCATACAACTAGCAAGCAAGGATGATAGCACCCTCCTCCTAGTATTTTAAACAGTTTATAATACACAGTTTTCATGACTGACAGCCTTATCTTCTACAGATTTACCTAATTCTCCTTTAAAGTCATTCAAGATAGTGGCCATAACTACATTTTGTGTGCTAGTATGAGCTCTAGGTTTAATTATGTGGACTATGAAGAAATTCTTTGCACTACAGGTTTATTCAAAGCATTAGGGAGGTGATTTGCAATACTTGGAGGGCTGATAAATCCATGAAAAAGTGAGTGTTCTTCTGTGAAGACAGTCATTTGTTCAATAGCCACATTGCTTAGCATACAAGCCATTTCTCTTTTTTAAGAGGAATGCTTCTGTTAACTTGTTACTATCTCTGTGCATCCCTTAGTCTCATAAGCTGCAGTGGTGAAATATAACATTTCTCTCCTTTTTGTTTCTCGAACAACTAAGAATGTCCCAAAACAAGATTTCCAACCACCTTCAGTCTTTACTTCCTACATTTAAGCCAATATGGGAGGCATTCTGGGAAAGAAAGAGGAAAATCATCACTTCAGACATCCAAAGTTTTCAAGACTAAAAGTATGTAATCTTTAAAAAAAAAAAAATCACAGGTAACAGCAGGCTGCCACAAGTGCAGAAGATGGTTATAATAGACATAGTGACATGCAATGCTACTATACTGACTTTTCTGATATTGTTTTGTTTCAGATTCCTTTTTTAATGGTCCCTAATAGAGAATTTGCATTTTTCACAACAGTTCTACACAGTATTCATCAGGCTATCCAACATAGCCCAAAAAGCCTCTTCTCATTAGTCACTGTCAGCTCAGATTCATCAATGTATATGTTAAACTAGAAAATACTTACATTTTTCTTACATTTAACTGGTATCTGAATACACATTCTTCTAAGTTCTAAGAGGTCTTTTTAGAATCCTTGTCTTAGTTTTTTACTTTAACCTAAATAATTGGTTGCCATCTATGAAATTGGCAACTTCACCGCTCACCTCCTGACCTGACTTCATATTGTTATTCCCTGCTTTCCTCATCAATTGCCCAGCCAGGAAAGGAGCTCTGTTCTTTTCCCCTCCTTGCAGTTTGTTTAGTCGCCTTTGGTGAAGGACCCTGTTTACCTAGACTTTAAAAGGCTTTTGACAGTAGGTACTGTATCCCTTCCCCAAGGTCAAAAGATTGTTCCATCCTTTTCTAATCACTCAAATAGTATTTCATAAGTACTTCCTGACAATACTCAATTTTTTAAAATTGTCCTGTAAGATTACCTCAGCAATATCTTTCCCACAGTCACCTCATACATTTAAAGCACAAACATCTAAAAAGAGCCACATGAAGGGAAAACACCTATTTACTCTGTTCCCTTCCACCCATTTTATTTTGCTTTACACACAAAGCTAAGAGAAGGAACAAAAAAGTTTCCCCAACAAGGAAAAAAACTTATTTTATTTACATTTTACATTTCTATCCCACTTTTCCTCCATCTCGGAACTCAAAGTAAACTACAGGCTGCCTTTCCCGGAGAGTTGTTCTCTCCCCCCATTAGGCCTAGCAAGTTCGGGACATCACGATGTATTCCATTTCAATGCCAGCCAATATTTGTTTTACGGAAGCAAGCCTGACTGACTTCAGCAGCATTGATCCACGAACAGCTCTGAAGGTTCTGACTTGGAGGGAGTCCGGCTACGGGGCACACATAGAGCTAGCTCTACCCGCTCTTCCCCAAAGTGGTGCTAGGTGTTTCCCAGGCGCGTTGCACTTCAGCTCCCATAACCCATCAGCCAAGGCCAGGAGGCGCTGCTGGGTGGGCGAAGCCCAAAGCACCCGATTGGAGAAGGTTTCCGGAATTACAGGCCGAGTCTTCCTCGGCCTCCCGATGCCGGGAACTGGACGTGAGACTTCCGAGGCAAAGCACCCTCCTCCCCATGAGCAACAAGCCCTTCTTTTTATAGTGGTCGCCCTGGCCGCCCGCCTCCCCCACGGCCTTCCTTCTCACCCTGGTGGTTAAACAGCCTCCATATCCGGGTAAAGAGGATTCCCATGCTCAGGCGGCCGAAGCTCA